CACTTTGCCTCCCTCTCTTTCGACCGAACAAAACCAAATCGCAAATAAGATCATATATGCAATGATATCCGGCGGAAGTTTCGACGATTGGAGCGAAGCATTCCTCGAAACAAACGACGAGGTAAATGGTCCAATTCTCATTTCCACTCTCTTCCTCCCCAAAACCTCCGTCGAAGGAATCAACGCCACGTCGCGGCTCGTTGCTTCTTACCACATTGTTCCACATTGCCTTAACTTCTCCGACATAAGCCTCATGAAGCCTTTCTCTCGTCTCCCTACACTTCTCTCTGGAAACTCCATAGTCATCACCAACAATTCAGCTTCAGGCTTTACACTTGATGGTGTTCTAATCTCCGAGCCAGATTTATTTGTTTCTCCATCGATAGTTATTCATCGAATCGCTTCTCCGTTTAACTTTTCTCGTTATGGCAACGCTATATAGTTACTTTGATTCTATTATCCTTTTTAAAAGTTTTACTTTTACATGGAATTGTTTTGAGAAACATGTGGTTTGACACGGAAATTATAGTTTGTTTTGTTCATGGTTATTCTTATCAACGTTTGCGAGTGGTATTAGAGTCTAGAGATCAGTCTTTCTAACAACTAAATTACCATGAGTTCATTCGAATCCAATAACAAGTAACAAGCTTCGAAATATCAATGTTTAGTAAGAAAAAAATATATACTGTATATTAGTTTTAGTACTTTTAGTATGTGTATAATATAATAAAAAGGTATTAATTTAAAAGTATTTTAGATAAGCCAATATGCTAACTCTATAATTATTATTTAATCAAAACAATATTAGCATATAAAATCACTGGATAAACCAATTTTTTTTTTTCGACTGGACAAACCATATATAAATTATTTTTACTACTAAATTTTTTAGGCTATATGATAGAAGACACTTTTAAGATATGATGATAGGTTTTTTTAGAATTGTTTGATTGTTTCATTCCGTTTATGTAAAAAATAGACAAAAAAAAAAACCATACGAGAACCTTAATTCTAGAAAAGAAACGAAAAAAATCAAAAAGATTACGTAAATCCGAGTTATAAAAAAAGGATAACCAAACACAGCAGAGGAATCTTGTCAGGCAAAGAAAGTGAGATAGGCAAAAAGCATGTTGCATACTTCTCTATCCCTCACATTTGTTCATATATAGTGTTGTAAGACAAAAGAATCAGGCTCCATTAACAGCTCTTGAATCTCGTTGGCCGAGTACTCGAACTGCTCGAGGGAGCAAGGCAAGAACAAATTGGATGAACTCAACTTCTTCTCGTTCCACTTTCTAACCTCAGCTTCAGCTTTGTCTTGTAAATAAGTTGAATCGGGCTACGAATTCATCGACCGTAAATATCTGATCGGCCTCGTGTTGCCATTCTCTTGAATCATATGTCTGAGATTGACAATTTGTGGAGAATCCGATTCGAACATTGCTCGACTCCATGGAAGAAAGAGGAGAAATAATTTGTGTACAAAATATAATCAGGTACGAAATTGCGCTTTTTGTAAAGACCCGAGGAGTTTGTGTGCAATTTACCAGAAATACGAACCTATAAAATTGTCAATAAGTGATTAGTGACGTGTCACTATTTGATTGGAGAAGCTGACGAATGAGCAGAGCAATTTATCGGACTTTGACAACGAAGAAGAAGAACAAATTTCGTAACAAAGAGAGAAAGAGAGCTTCTGCGAGAAATGGCGGAAGAACACGAGAAGGTCTCTTCTTCACCGTTACATCAACCTTCTCCTGCTGAAAAGAAACCCGAAGATGCTGAGATCAAGCCTCAGGTCTGTGAATCGCTTCGTTAATTTATATTCAAAATTTGTGATTTGAGTCTGATTTAGTAGTCGTTCCCGTTTGATTCTTCGTCTCCGGTGATGTTTCGTCTTTTTCGATTTGGATGAGTGATGAACAGTGAATTTCCCCCCTTTTTCTCTAAGATCATTTTAAGGGTTTGTGAATCTTGACCATTTTTGGGCGTTAGATCGTGATTTGATCTCTGGGTGTTTTTTGATTTTCCTAGGATCCAGCGTCTTCTTCTTCTTCTGGGTTTGGAGCTTATCCAATGTACGAGGAACATATGAACCGTGGAGCTGGGATCTACGCGGTTCCTGTGCATCAGTTTGCAGGTCATATAGCTGGTCTTCCCTCAAATTATCTTATCCCACTCACGTACAATGTTCCCACGTAAGTAATTCCTTCGAATTCGTCACGGTTTCGATGGATTAGCTTCGATACTCTCGATAATGCCATTGCGAAGAATCATATTCATAGGTAATTGATTTAGCTAGAAGAACTTGAGGGTTTGTGCAACAAGTTGGTCTCTTGGTGGTTTAGCTTTAGATGAGTTGATGTAAAAATAACTGTAGGCTTGATATTGAATCTTTTTAGGTTGATGGTTTTTATATGTTGTTTTAGAACTAGACCAAGTAATGAGACTGAGAATGGGGGAGAGAACCAAGGGCAAGCCGGGCAGGGTCAGCAACAACCTGCACATCAAAGGCAGGTCGTGGAAAGGAGATTTCAGATCGCGTTTCAGCTCGACTTATTTCTCATACTTAAGCTTGCTGCTGTCATCTTTTTGTTCAACCAAGATGGGTCAAGACAAAGGCTCGCTGTTCTTGTGATTTTTGCTACCATCATTTACTTGTAAGTCTCCAGAATCTGGTTTAATTTCACTCTTAAGGTCTATGAAGCTTGAATTTGACCACAAATGTATGCTACATATGTTAATTTGGTGGTGTTAAAGACCCGTTAATCCCCTGATATCAATTCGTTCAGCACAAAAGTATTGAGAAACAACAAGGTAGTTTAACCTCTGTTTGGTGTTGGAATTTGGTAGATACCAAACTGGAGCTCTTGCACCGTTTGTGCGATGGCTCTCACAAGGTATGCATAGAGCAGCAGTACCACCACCTCGACCTCAGAGACCTGTTGCCAGAGCTGATAATGATCCTGCAGCTGCAGTGCCACTAAACGAAGATGCAGTTCCCGGTATATATTACGTTGCAGTATCTCTCTCTCATGGTGTTAAGTGAAGTCATCACAACAACAACTTACGCAGATGCAA